TATATCCAAGTTTAGCTAGCGCCATCTGTCGTCGTAGATTGGATATTTCGTAAAAGGCTTCTTTATCTACAAATAGAAAAACATAAACTGTTACATTGTTCTTCAGTAAAGTTTCTGTTTTAAGGTAGGTCTCCAGATTGTTACACAAAGCCTGCTGCACAAAGATTAGTTTGCTGGAGTTTGTCTTAAAGGGACAGGTGCGCCATTTCCAGGGCTGATTTGGGTCTTGAAAATATGTAAATAGTCTTCAGAAGTACTAGAAATGTACGAAAATCTGATATTTTCTTCAAAATACCTCGAACTAGGAATCAAAACATTCTATTTCTATATATCAGTCATTTTAACATTCAAATTCAGGTAATTCTGGACACACATGGATTTCGACGGTGAGCTGTGAACACTATTACTGATTGGCTTAGCTAAAAGAATCCCGGTTTCTGAGACTAAATTATGATTGGTAAAAAAATATGGCGCACCTGTCCCTTTAAAAAAAATTGAGCTTTTGGGCATAGAAATTTGAATTATCAAACTGAACCTGCAGTAATCAAAGAAAAGACTGTAGCATACCGTCCTCATCAGTCAACCCATTCAAATAGGGTAGAGATAATCAGGGAAAGATCAATGTCAAGAAGTAGATGGTAAAAAGGTTTGATTTTGTTCTATTGTGAGTTAAAGAAAGTGTCATTGAGTTACAGAAAGATAAAGTAATATTTACCTTCACTCTTCACAAGACCTTGTTGTATATATCTAATATAGGTATAAAAATCACACACGGCTGCTATCTGAAATATCAACCAAAACAACCATCAGAAATTACTAAATTCCATTATAACAAAACATTTATCTGCCAAGAGGATCGGTTACTTTTTTGAAAAAGCTCAAAACTTAATTGAAGAGAGAGGTATACAACAAGTTTAAAGATGGGTTCCTTTATTTTCATTTATGAAAATGAAAATGCTAATACTTAGTAATGACTTGGATAAATACCAGTTTGTCTCACATGTCCATAATTAATTCATAATTAGCTACCCATGAACGGGACAACATAAGACTGTTATTTCCCAGAATTTGAAACATTTCCTCAGAGCTTGTATGACACGTGGTATCACCAACAGATAAAACACCACATGAAAAATCCTGATTTGCATATTAATCAGATTGGGAATTTTGATGGCTAGTGAAATCCAATAATTTTCTTACCCTATTTCTACAGAGTTGTGATATAGAATACCATTCTGTATCTTCTGTATCCAATCGTATTTTATAATTACATAGTTTGTGGGATTCAGTTAAAGAACATTTCCGTGGGTATGAGTTATCACCGGGGATAGGTTCAATTGTCAAACAATTTCTCTCCACGCATTCCAACAGACGTGTTGCTAACTGAAATATAAAAAGATAATGATAATCATACATAGAAACTTCATTGAGAAATGAAATGAAATGAATGTAGGGTGCCATGAGGGAAATTTCACCAGGACAGTTGCATTAGCCTCCTCTTTTTCAATTTTCAACTGTCGAGGGATCTTTAACGTGCACATCCTGTAGCACACATGGCCTTGATTTATTGTCTCATCCGAACTAGACGCTTTTCCATGTCAGCCCCTCTTACGTGCATCACTGACAGGGGGAAACCAGGTTGAAAAATCCGAAGGTATTATCTCGAACTATGCCAGGATTGAACCCTTGACCTTCAGGTAAGGGAGAAAGCATTTATCTCACTGAGCCACCGCGGCTCCCGAAACTTCATTGAGAAGCAATATGCAATTAATCATTAAAAACGATAAAATTCTTTCTAAAATATGCTATTTACTACTATGGATCTACTTGATCAATATGAATTTATTTTACAAGAGTTAATACTGTAATACAAAACAGAGCTGACTAAATTTTAAGTAGGCAGCTTAGAATAGTTTGATAAATTTACTTGAAACTATAGACTCTGTAACTATCAGCCCAAAAAGAACATTGGCACCAACAAGTCAAAATATCTATCAAAACTATCAAGACAAAGGGATGCATCAAAAGGCCAAATGTGTGGTTACACATACTTCGGCTGATATATATATAGTGATAGATGATAGGTGATATGTAATCGAAAATTCAGATGTCCGGGTACTGGTAAAAATTTGTCAGAGTCAGGAGTATGTCTGCCGAGTTTGACTTACCCGGTTATTTTGAAAATTGAGACAGGGTTTGACATCCTCGTTAAATACCCGACTAAAAAACTGACGTTAATAGGGTCCTGGACAGGGCTC